GTGTGTGTGTGTGTGTGTGTGTGTCAGAGTGTGCGCTTGAGCTAATCGCCTGGATTTTGTGCAGGGTACGCAAGTCGACCCACTTGCGTCTGCAGCTGCTGGCTAAGGAGGAATACAAGCTGTCCACTCTCGTGGCAGAATCCCTGGTGAGGGATCGTCTCAGTCCCATCCTCATCCAGCCGCACCTGGACGCCATGGACCGCCGACTGCGCCAGGTCAGCACTTTTCCACTGATGTTATTCATCACACCGTGAGCTCCTTTCATCTGTTTTGTTTCCATCTGTCCATCATAATAATATGGATTTTCTTTGTCACTTTTTTTTTTTTTTTTGGGATTGTCACTCGATGGCGCCTGTTTTCGCAGGTTCTGCAGGCGCTGGTGGAATGCATTGAAAAGGAGGGCTACAGTTACGTGGTGGAGAACGACCTCCAAGGGAGCCAATGGACAGACCACAGCGGGCCGAGGAGGAGGTAGCCGGATGGAACTTGAGCTGGTAGGATTTGAATCGCCTCCTGATGCGAGGTGAGCGCTTTCGGGCCTCACTGCCTGCTGGTCGGAACCTAGTGGACGCAACAGAACTCGACGCAGGTGACCTCGACGCGAATCCGATAGGTTGGATCTGGGATCGGACCATGAACTTGAGTTGGACCTTCCTGCATCGCCTTGGCTCTTACAAAAAAAAATAAATAAATGACCCAGCCACACTTAGGTGTAGGATAGTATCACCGCAGCCAGACTGACCTACCGCAGCACTAGCAAACCGTGAAAGTCTTGTAAGAGACGCCTTGTCTATGTCTTCTTCCGGACCTCTTTTGAATTCAGTGAATTCTGAGGGACGTGTTGAGATTCTTCAAGCTGAGCAATCTGTTTCAATACATACTGATGACATCACAAACGTTCAATTGAGTTGTCTTGGAGGAGGAGCTACTTGTTTTTGTCATCACGAAGAGACAAAAAGTAAAGTTGCCCTGACAGTAAAAAAAAAAATGTATATTTTATTTCCTGTCAAAGGTCTTTGGGGTTTAAACAATTTTAATTGGAGTGCAGGTTAACTCCTGAATTTGTCCATTAATGTTGCCCGGAAATGTCCTCGAGAGAGTATTTATTAAAACCCATATTTATTGTTTGAAATCAAATAGGTGCAAAATCAGCCCCAAAAATAACATCATAGTGATGTACTTTCTCATTTGCCCCACAAGAGGGCGTGATTGCCGCGTGCAAATTGTTCCCCGGCCAGGAAATGTACAATAAATTGGGCAAGAACGTGTTTACATTTTGAGTTTGTGTCATTTAACTCCCAACTGCTGTCTTACCTGTATCACCTGTCATCACCAGTCACAATATTAGGTACACTTATACGATGTAATAAATTCCCAGTTGAAGGGCTGTATCAAAATAGCGACCTTTGGCATATCATTTTAGGTATTCGTTGTGTACCTAATATTGTGGCCAGTGAGTGGAAACGGTACCAAAAAGCCAAATGTTACGACACATCGTTTTGTATTCTTTGTTTCTTTGTAATATACGACTTATTGTCCAGATGTTGCTGTCACAGAGAGATTATTTTTCGGGATGTACATTTCATTCATCAACAACAGTTTAGAGACGGACAGCCGAGCTGGTGGGCGAGCTGGTGGTTCTGTCGTTGGCTCCAATTTAATATATATCATAGGAAAATCTAGTGCCTGTGCAATGATAGAAACTTGAATGTCTGGTTTCATACTTTTCCCGGGTGGTGAGTACAGAGAAGATGGGGAGTTGTTTGAATGGGTGTGTGTGTGTGTGTGTGTGTGTGAGTGTGTGCGCGCTCATTGCAGTCCTGTGTCAATACATTGTGTGTGCGCGTGTTTGTGAGAGAATCCATGGAGAATGTATACAGTATGTTTTCCTGGTATAAAAAAAAGGTTTATTTTCATCATCAGGACAGTGTTTCAGTGAATTTTTTTCGTTTGTTCATTTCTTTGCATCATGGTTAATTAAAGTGCAATAAAACAAAATGCACAGAATTCAAAGTCTCTTTTTTTATGTGTTTGAAAATATAGAAATAGACAGAAGCAGTGTGAACAGTTGTATGCCATGTTTGGCGAGGGTGTGTGTGGACGAGCGGCCCACCGGGAATTGTGCTCCAAATTAGCCACTCCGCGCCTGATGGGACTTGACGACGATGATTCACAACCACTGGGCCGTAGCTCAACAGATGTGCTGCTGTAAATGTTCATATTGTGTGCATCTAATGTCACTACCCCCCGTTTTATTGTCATGAAAATTACTTACATCAAATGTGACGCAATGCCATCCAGAATAATGAAATGCTCTTCCACGAGAGGACAGAAGGTACAATTAACCTGATTCCATTCATACAGCAAAATATTCAACGAAACATCCCCCTATTTCATATTAAATAAATGCAAGTGCACACATGGCTATTGCGTGAGTCCCAATTCCCTGTGCTCTATTTTGTTTTGTTGCGCCATAACTTTTCCTCGCAGCGCAGCTTTATGAAACGTCACTTGATGGTTTCTCATCAATGCACCCACAAAAGGAGTCATGAATGGAAGAGGCTGAGCCGGCAACAATCCATCTGAGAGCGGCCCGAGGACAACAAGTCGCTGCAGCCGGCCGCAGACAGGCCGCCAGAGGAAGCGTCGTCATGGGAACAAGCCATGACGACGCTTTTCAGCTCACATCGAACCGACCTTTTTAGGGTTGTCACCCTTGGAAGGTGGAGACGCAGCGTCACTGTGGTCCACTGGTTAGTGCACCGGTTTACCAGCGTAGAGGTGCGGGGTTCAAATCCAGGTTTCGGTCTGTCCCTACGAAGTTTGCATGTAAAGCATTTTTGAACGACTACAGTATGGATATGAAGACCTTTTTGGGTTGCTGCTTATGCGTTCAATTGAGGAGCGCCATCGGATTCAACTGGTTAGTGCGTTGGTTTACGAGCACAGAGGTGCAGGGTTATGGGTGAGATTTGAGTGCCTTCACGTCGTCCACCGGCGAAGCTCGTCTCAAAGGTGACCACTCAACGAGAGACGCCAACCGTCTCACCAATTATGTTCTTTTTCTATCTTCAAAAACGGACTCGTGGTCGTCCGCGTGTGACTACATACCTATAAAAGTGTCGGAAGGTTCGTGCAGGAATGGCCTGATGGTAAAATGCATGGTTTGATAGGCAGCCGGAACGAGTTCGAATCCCACCGTCTATTCCATCTATAAATTTAGCAAGAATCGAACCCGTGTCTCCCGTCACTTTGTCCAGGGGCGAGGTGATTACCAGAAGCGAACACTCCACGAGAAATGCCGAGCGCCTCACCAAATATGTTGCATTTTTTTAACCTCTGGACACGAACTCGTGTGGCTGGCTGACGCTCTATGATTACATCTAAGAATTTCGAAATTTTCGAGCCAGAGTAGTCGAATGGTAAATGACATTGCGTGGTAGTCAGGCAACCCGAGTTCGAGCCCCACCATCTGCTCTATTTATAAATTCAGCAAGAATCGAACCCGGTTTATATATTTTCGACTATCCGATGACTATCCGATGACAATAGGATACACGTAGTAGATTCGGTCGTCACAGTGGAACGATAGTCCAGTGGAATATGACGGGGTTTCTCGACTGGTAAGCTCGAGTTCGAGCCCCGGTGCTATCGGTAGGCAAACCCTTTGTCATTTCGCTGCGATTTTTTTCACACAACATCTTCACATTCATTTCCGCTTTCAAATTAAATGTTTTATATGTTTTTATTTTTCCGGAAGTGGCGTCATTACCGGAAACCTATTTAAGTCGGGACAACGAGGCAATCGTTCTTTCTCACCTCCGACAGTCTCCGCACGTCCTCCCGCTCCGTACGCCTGTCCAGTGTCCACAAGATGACGGAAACCTTCAAGGTGACTTTGTAGTTTTTACTCTTTAATAGCATCTTAAAACACACCGCCTTGGCTCACTTTGAATGGAAAGCAGCACTTTAGACGTGCTCGCACCTGGCTAACATGCTAAGCAAAAACGTTTGCGACAGCATTAGCAATTAACGTCTCCTGCGGCCTTACTTTGCAACAAAACTTTTTATCCAACATCCTAGGACGAAAGCGACATTCGCCGAGAGGCTAAGTAGACAAAACTCCTTTCTAAATTCACAATTAAACCGAACTAAACCTTTTTTTCCCACCCTTCTAGGACAAAAGCGACGTTCGCCAGAGAGGGTAAGTAGACAAAACTCATTTCTAACTTCACAATCAAACCACACAAATGTGCATATGTGCGTGCTAATCGTGTCACTTCTCTTCACAGGTACAAATCTTGAGATGGAATCTGAACATGGGCCACTTGCTGTGCGTTATAATGTGGAATTTAAGTCCTGAACCGTTTGGAGCAAAGCCATTTAATTTGTCCCTTTTCTATCCACAGGCTTTGCATCTTCTACAGAATGGCCGAATTGAGTGCAACACGGTAAAAATGTTACATTTTTAAAATACCACCGTATGACAGACTAAATCCCAAATGTCTCTTCTCCTTTGTGTCTACACAGGCTCGCATCGACAGAATGACCCATAAAATGGCTGCCATCCTGTGGAGTTTTGGACCCTGGCTTCACGAGGCTTTGGCAGGTCTTTTACAGGTCTACGAAATACCGGGGTGCTTGGAAGGTTGAAACTCAATAGTTTGTTACCGTGTCTTTCAGGTCACAGCGCTGTCGAAGGGGCGTCCAGCTCTGCTCTCTTCACAAGTGAAGCAAACTCTTTCATACATGTGTGACTACTTGAAATTGAATCAGCATGTGATTCACTAAAGATTGGGCACAGCTGTCAAATCCAGAAAGTTTGGCTTCAACCACAGGAGCTTCTACTCAACCAACTCCCGGGAAGCTCGTTGACCTGCTGGTTGAGAAAGCACACTTGTGGCTAAAATCAAACAGTGGTGAGGGTCTTAATTTCTGGCCCTTTCACACACTTATGCAGATTGTCATGATCGTTGTCCGGCTTCCGCAGACGTTGCTGATGATCTGATCATTTGAATCAGGTGTGTTGCACCTGTGAGATAACCGGCAGCAGAGTGGCACCTGCTCAACATGTGCGTGTTTGTCCTGCTTTTGTCCACCAGATAGTGCTGAAGGACCTGATGCAGGTTGTGAAGTCGAGCCGTCCCTCCTCAACGTTTGGAAGTGTTGCAAAATTCCATGCCAAGTCCTTGAACTGCTGCTTGCAGGCAGGCCTTCAGCAAACATGGCGTCACGATCCACCGTATGTCACACACGCTGACTGGTGACAAGCTACACCCAAAAAGCACTGCACATTGAATTTTCAAGCATACTCACCTGCTTTTTCTTTGACTCTGCATGCAGTGCAGCTTCCAGTAAGAGTGCTGCCAGAGACCTTCCACCTGCTGGGCAAAGAGACAAATGCGACAAGCTTGTAGCAGGTCCTCAATGCTGCCTCTATTTTCAACTTTGCCGTTGAACGGTATGAAATAAGAGCTTGACGGGTCCCTTGTTTGTGGTGTTGGCAGGTTTGACCACCTTGGATGCGTTGCTGGACCAGAACCAGCTTGGCCTGTTGGTGTTGCTAATGCTCGACCAACTGTTGCACCAAAAGGCTGAAACGTGACTGAGCCACCTGCTGGTAAAAAACTAGTTTCATTTCAACAAGCATGTGTTCATTGTCCAGAGTTGATTGGAGACTGTTTTTGGGTCGTCTGTGCCGCAAGAGGGAGGAACCTGCTCGCGGACGAGCACAGGCCTGCAGGCAACCCTTTTAGCCGTTTTTACTGTTATTTGCAAGGTGCTGAAATCAAATTTTGCCTGAAAAGTAGGAGACATTTACGCTCTGTAAATGCAACATCATGACTCCTTTTTTTTGACTGCCCCCCATTCTCTAGGCAGCAGTAACAGTGATCGGCTTCCTGCTCACAAAAGACCCAACAACTTGTCTCTCTCCCTGGTAAGTTTCATGCCAAAAACATCTTTGTCTGCACAAGAAATTGACTTGCCGTGTAACTCACGGATGCCTTTCTCCTCAGGTCAACGCACCTGTGACACGTTCTTCTCAAGAGCCGACCACTTCGCCGCCCAGCAACAAGCAGACTGCCATCCAACTTGCAACTCTTTCCTCTGCTTTGTGATTGTCTACTTTGCAAAAGAAATAAAGCTTGATTACAAAGAACACTTGAACTCTTAACTTCCTTTTTAAACACATCACCACAATCTAACTTAATTTTTTTTCAAAAAAATTTTTTTCCTGGATTTTTTTTTTCCAGGCAGAAAAATCCAGGAAAGTAGGTGTGGCCTGGCTGGAATGATGACCAATGATTCGCTGATGGCCGTGAAAGTGGGTGGAGCGCAAGGATAACGTGCTGCGATTGGTGGAAAAGGAGGCGTTGTTATGCAAATGAGGTCTCCCTCGATTGGCTGTCGGCTAGGGGGCGTGGCTATGCAAATTTGGAACGATCTGATTGGTCGGATCTTGGGAAAGTGGGCGTGGTTATGCAAATTGGACAAATCTGATTGGTTATGCAAATATATGCAAATGAGGGCTTCACCGCGATTGGTGGATGCCAAGTTGGGTGTGGTTTGGGGCGGGCATTGCAGCACTTTGTCAAAGTTCCACTTGAGTCTTGAGCTTAGACTTGCACTTGGGTCACATCAGACAGTCTCTTCACTGTTCCCATGGGTTTCGCATGACCCAAAAGCTCGATTCCTGGAGTTTCGAGTCATGTGGAGACCAACGGGAACAGTGAAAAGACTGTCTGATGTGACTGAAGCGCAAGTCTGAGCTCAAGACGTCAGTCTTTGAAAAGGCTTCGAGTGAGATGAGGATGGATTTAGTCACTAAGGCAAAGACTCAGATTCAAGTTGAACAATTTATTGGACAGAAAAGCGAACATGACAATGTAAAAGCATTTGACCAGTCAATCTTTGTGTGGGACAGTTCAAGTTGCACACACACAAACACTGACGGCAGGCCCGAGATGGGAGCATGTGCTTGACCAGCTCACGCGTGACGGCACTGACATCTCATGACACACCAAGGGGGACATGAGCACGTCTGACTTCTCTCACTGAGACAAAAACTAAGTGCCATGTACTCCACAACAACATGATGACACTCTTCTGGTCTAGTTTTTAAATGACATTGAAGTGGGCCAAGGTAGTCATATGTATGTTTGTGTGGATATATATAAAAAAAAAAAAAATCCTCGTCTCACCCCTCGGGTGGTGTCCATCCCTCATTCAGCTCGGGTCCTCTACCAGAGGCCAGGAAGCTTGAGGGTTCTGCGCAGTATCCTTGCTGTTCCCAGCACTGCACATTTCTGTATATATATATATATATATGCACAAAGACACATCTTTAACGAACTTGGTCCACCTCAAGGTTTAAAAACAAATTCCACAAGTGCTTGATGATGCTCGGGTTGTCTTCGTGTAGTTGACACTGTTGTGCAGTTCACGAAGCAGAAGTTTAAGTTGAGTGAGAGCTTGTTTTGCCTTGACACGGAGAACCTTCACATTGTGCTGCTACCTCATCATCTTCTACGGCGCCGCTGCAGCGGACCAACGGGAGAAAAGGGATGTCTCCTCGTCGAAGCAAAACAAGCTCGAGGGAAACAAACTCATCTCGGGTTTTGTTTCTCGAGTTGTGTTCAATAGTAATAGAAAACAAATTAGAGGAGCAACGTATCGCAATTGTGCTCCTAAATTGTCTAGACAAACACATTCACAAATAAATGGCAAAAAGTCAGTTTAAAATGTTAAAATTACTCACTGAAAACAGGGCTTGTGGACAGCGGAAAAACTTGCTCGTTGAACCGGATGTGGTACCGTTCTTGTGCTTGTTCTTATTCTTCTTCTTGTTAGATTGGACCTCCTTGGTCTATATCGCCCCCTACTGTCCAGGAAACCACAAAGTCGTTTGGCTTTGGCAAGCAATCTGAATCTAATTCACAGGATGAGCGAAGCATGCAAAAACACAAAAGGAGTTGACTTTCCCAGTTCCAACTCGTCCAGAGGATCATAAACGCAACAAAAAAGACGAACATGGTGAGATAGCACCTGATAAAGGTACCCAGAGAGTTGTACTTTTTCGGTGGCACTGTTCTTGTAAAGTTGAAAGCCACTTCAATCGATGGTGCGTCATTCCTATTGGGCACCAGTAGACGGCGCCCTTACGTTTCGTTCAGACCTTTTGTTATGTTGTTGTTTTGTTTGTTTTTAAGCGTTCACACCGTGGACGACGGGCGCGAGCCTCTTGCGAGTTTGCGGTCGAATTTGACAATGACTCTTACAGCTGTTAGCTGAGATTGGAAAGCGAGTTTATTGATTCCCCTTGCCAAAAGCGGGCCCTGTGCTGGAGTTTGAGACTGAAATGTTTCTGACCCAGTCCAGCTGTGACGGGCTGCTCATGGTGGCGGAGGGGCTGGGAAGAGACCGCATTCTGCTGGAGTTCATGCGGGTGGACTCGGAACAAGGCGGCTCATCACCCCCACCCTCCACCCCCGACACATCGTCAGCCCAGTTGCACAATTCCTGAAGTATTTAAATGCAAACGTTAAAATGCAGTTCTTTTTAATGATGTACCGTTTTGATACCTTTTGCACATACGTTTTTCTATTGTTAAATAGAAAGTCTTGTCGTTGCAGTTTTGTGTCATTTTGCATTATTGCTCACACCATCCATTAAGAAGGAATAACCTGGCAAAACATCAAAATGTGTTCCCAAGACGTTTGCTCTCACATTGTGGAATGAGGACTGCTTCATCAGGAGACCACGGTCGAGACGAAGGCTTCGTTGAAAGGTTTCCTCAAACCACGTTTACATTTTTGAGCACTTATTGATTGGCATATATTCCCGAAGACAGTGAATACTTTGAGGGGGGAAAGTTATTGGGGTCCTATAGAAAGTTTCCTCCCCAATATAAAACGAAGTTTGATTTCACCGTTGTATTTTTTCGGTGAGACTGTTCTTGTAAAGTTGAGGGCCGCTTCGGTCGAATGTTTGTCATTCCTATTGGGCACCAGCAGATGACGCCCTTATTTTTCGTACAGACCTTTTGTTGTGTTGTTGTTTTATTTGTTTGGAAGCGTCAACACCGTCGACGACGGGCGCGAGCCTCTGGACGAGTTTGCGTTCGAATTTGACAATGATTCTTACTGCTGTTAGCTGACATTGGAAAGCGAGATCGGGTTTATTGTTTCCCCTTGCCAAAAGCGGGCCCTCTGCTCGAGTTTGAGACCGAAATGTTTCTGACCCCGTCCAGTTGTGACGGGCTGCTCGTGGTGGCGGAGGGGCTGGGAAGAGGACGCATTCTGCTGGAGTTCATGCGGGTGGACTCGGAACAAGGCGGCCTGGTTCTACGACTTCACGCTCCCACCCCTGAACAACTCAGCACCCCCGCGCACCTCAACGCCACAAAGAAATTTTGAGCATATTCAGAAAAAAATGTGCATGCGGTATTTTCAAACAATACATCTTGATTTCTCCAGCGCTTACACGACAGCTGTCATAAAGCGCTTGACAGAATTTTGGCCTGATTATCCTGTGCCGGTCAGTCGGGATATCGCCCGCCGACACACAAGCCTCCCATTGACGCATGGTCGTAGTTGGGTAAAGTTTGTTTTGGAAGTAGTGGTGGTGGTGTGTGTGTGTGTGTGTGGGGGGGGGCATGTTGATCGGTGTACATTCCCGAAGAGTTAATACTTTGAGGGGGAAAAGTTACCGGGGTCCTCAGAAAGTCATCCGATGTTTCCTCCCCAATATTAAACGAAGTTTGATTTCAACGTGATCCTTCGGGTATTGCAGGTTCTTCAGCCACCCGGCCGCAACCAACCAGGCGTCTCAACTATTCCAGCGGAGTTGCCCTTATCAACAAAGCATCTTGAAACAACGAATAAAGTTGGCTTGCACGTCTGGAAGTGTGTGTATGGATGTTAATTTGCACCTTATTCACGATTGCCAAGAAAGCAAAATGACACGATCTCTTTGTGCTCGTCTCGTCTTCAATCTAAAATGTCACGTCGCCCAAAGGCGAAGCTCGTCCCATCAGTGACCACTCCACGAGAGACGCCAACCGTCTCACCAATTATGTTTTTTTTTACCTTCAAAAAAACGGACTCGTGTGGTCGGGCGCCTTCGACTACATATAAAAATTGCGAAATGTTCAGCCCGGGATGGCCTGATGGTAAAAGACATCGCTGGGTAGGCAGGCGGAATGAGTTCGAACCTCCATCTGCTCTCCGTTTATAAATTTAGCAAGAGTCGAACAAGTGTTTTCCCGTCACCTCGTTCAGGGGCGAAGTGAGAAGTTTGAAGAAGAAGCGAACACGCCACCAGAGATGTCAAGCGTCTCACCAAACATGTTCCTTTTTTATAACTCCACATCTTAAGACGGACGCCCTATGATTAGACGTAAAAATTTCGAAATTTTCGCGCCAGAATGGCCTAATGGTAAAAGACATCGAGTAGTGGTCAGGCGAACCGAGTTCGAGACCCACCATGTGCTCTATTTATAAATTAAGCAAGAATCGAACCCGGTCTTCCCGGGTACCAAGTATTGTCGTTATCCATTCGACCACGCTAAATCACTGATCAAACTTTTCGGCTGTTTATATTTTATAGACCTAATGCAACGGGACTATGGAATGACAATAGATAGAGGTATTAGTAGTCGACGTCAGTGTGGAAGGACAGTCCAGTGGTATGTGACAGGGATTCTCCACTGGTGAACTCAAGTTCGAGTCCCGTGCCGTCCTTAGGCAAAGCCTTCATCGTTTCGCTCAGAATTTTTCCACACAAGATCTTCACTCACTTCCTGTTTCAAATTAAAAGTTTTTTTTTCTTTCCGGAAGTGACGTCATTGCCGGAAGCCTATTTAAGCCGGGCCATCGAGGGACTCGTTCTTTCTCACTTTCGACAGCCTCCGCACGTCCTCACGCTGCTCCTGCTCTGCACGCCCGTCCAGAAGACCAGGTAAACTCCAACAAGGTGACTTTTTTTTTTTTTTTACTCTTTAATAGCCTCTTAAAACACACCGCTTTGGCTCCCACTTTGAATGGAAAGCAGCACTTTAGACGTGCACGCACCTGGCTAACATGCTAAGCAAAATGTTTGCTCGAGCGTGAGCAATCAGCGTCTCCTGCGAACTTACTTTGCAACAAAACCTTTTTTTTCCCCCAACCTTCTAGGACAAAAGCGACGTTAGACGAGAGGGTAAGTAGACAAAACGCATTTCTAAATTCACAATTAAACCGAACTAATGTGCATGCGTGCGTGTTAATTGTGTCATTTCTGTTCACAGGTACAAATCTTCAAATGGACTCTCCCACGGGCCACTCGCTGTGCGTTTTAATGTGGAATTTAAGTCCTGAACCGTTTGGAGCAAGCCCATCTAATTTGTCTCTTTTTCTATCCACAGGCTTTGCATCTGCTACAGAATGGCCGAATTGACTGCAACACGGTAGAACTGCCACATTTTAAGATACCGCCGCACGACAGACTAAATCCTGAAATGTGTTGATTGTCATTTCTGTCTCCACAGGCTCACGTTGACAGAACGACCCACAAAATGGCTGCCATCCTGTGGAGATTTGGGCCCTGGCTTCACGAGGCTGTGGCAGGTCTTTGACATGTCGACCAAATATCGGGGTGCTGAGCCAGGCACTTGGAAGGTTGAATATTTAAAATTCAAGAGCTTACGTTACCGTGTCTTTCAGGCTGTCTTTCAGGCCAAGAGGTGTCCAGCTCTTTTCACAAGTGAAGCAAACCCTTTTATACACGTGTGACGACTCGTAATTGAATCAGCATATGATTTCCGAAAGATTGTGCACAGGTGTCAAAGCCAGAAATGTCAAAAAAGTTTGGCTTCAACCGCAGGAGCTACTCCTCAACCAATTCCCGGAAGCTCGTTGACCTGCTGGTTGAGTAGGCGCACCTGTGGCTCAAATCAAACGGTGGCGGGGCTCTTAATTCTGGCCCTCTCTCACTTATCCAATCAGGTGCGTTGCACCAGGGAGCGAGAGGAAGGAAACTGTCAGCGGAGTGGCACCTGCTCAACATGTGCGTGTTTGTCCT